TGAGATTTGGGGCTGTAGTTGAGATATTATTTGAGCTTTTGAGATGTTAATCAGCTGCTGTTGGTTGTAGAAAACTGCCTTGTTGCCATGGTTACGCATCATAACAAATGTCCAAAACTAAAAAAGTTTCAGTAATAATCCTTCCAGCTGCACAGCATCCGATACCAGAGGAAACAATCATCCAAAAAAATGTGACTTACATCCAGAAAACAGGAATTAAAGTTTCCAAAAGCAAAATCTCAGAATGAAGAAACAGAGCTGCTACAACATGCAGCCACCTTGAGCGGCGCAATTCTGGAATCAATTAAGGGTCATCCAGGTTTTTATGTCTTTAAGACATGTTTGTAGGCTAAGTAACTGATTGGATTCATTGGGTTTCATGGACAAATATAACTGTGTATCATCAACATAACAATGAAAATGTATTTCATGCTGTTTAATAACATTACCTAATGGAAGCATATACAAGGTAAAGTGTATTGGTCCAAGCACTGAACCCTGAGGAACTCCATGACTAACTTTGGTGTATGAAGAAGATTCATTATTTACATTTATAAATTGGAATTTATCCGATAAATATTATTTAAACCAATTTAGAGCCATTCCTTTAATCCCAATATCATATTCAAGTCTTTGTAGAATATTGTGATCAACTGTATCAAATGCAGCACTGAGGTCTAACAGGACCGGTGTACTAGACACGTGTCCATTATTAGAGGCCATGAGCATATAATTAGTAACTTTCACCAGTGCAGTTTTAGTGCTATGGTGAGCTCTAAACCCTGACAGAAAACTCTTCAAACAGATTATTTCTTTGCAGATTATCACGCAACTGACCTGCAACTAGTTTCTCTAGAATTTTTGAGATGAAAGTTAAATTAGATATAGGTCTATAGTTGGCTAGGATTCCTGAGTCCAGGTTATGTTTCCACATCTGTATGTTGGGAATTATTCTCAACTACTACCACATCAAATTATAGCTCAATATCTGCAAAATTCACTGCTATTTTATTATTTTCTAAGGTTAATTAGCTGTGGCAGCCATCTTGAATTAATTTAAATTCAAATGTCAATCACTTGTAGACGTGCATCTAATGATTATTTTGAGGTTCATTCAGTGAATTAATGAAAATGAATGTGATATTTTCCTAACAGATCGACAGGGTTGACACCAACAGTTAAGTCAAAGTTTCAAGCAAAGATTTAGTGCAATGTATCAGTGCACAGAGTATATGTTGGAGATGGTTTTCAACTACTAAGAAGCCAAATTTTAGCACAATATTTTCAAAACTGATTTATATCCATCTAGGTGTTTGCCAAAGTTGAATAGTAGAAATATTTTGCTAACTCAAACAAATGAACACACATGCAGAGTTATTCATGACTTCAAAAGTACTTGTAGTCCTGTTGATGCAGATTTTGAGATGGACTCTCATGTCTTCTGAACAGAATTAGCCTTTGGTGTATTTCCAGCCACTAAACTGTTTATTTGTGAGAGAGTTAATGAATAAAAGAGACACCGCTAAAGATCTACACAAACTGTCATATTATTCCACATTCTTGTTCCACTGTTGTCCAAACCATGGTAGTAACAGTCACACAGCGCAAAATGCCCATAATGAAACAGTAATGACTGTTTCAAGCAGTGCAGCCTGATAAGTCAGTTGAGGAAAACGCTTCTGATCTGCAGCTTTTAGCACAAAGATTACTAATAGAATTAACGGCGCTACATCCAGAAATGTGATCATCACAATGACGTCGTAACAGCTTTACACTGGCACTGTTAGCTGGAAAGAATTTACTCAAACAAATGCAAAAATAATATGTAGGCTTGTTGGGCCAGTACAGGAACATGGTAAATATTTTGATGATGTGATGAGTTTAATAAAAATGAGCAACTTCTAAGGGTCTCCCAACGGGTGAAAGTTTAATGCAGGCAGTTCAAGATCTGTACCACACTGACGGTTTTCACCTGACAAAGCAATGAATTATGAATCCAAACATGTATTGCCTTTATTGATACACAAAACAACAATTAAGAGGTACTATACCTGTTGGTTTTACACAGTACTGGATGAGCATATGTTGGTAAAACAACAAATTACAATGAAGTTTGAACTATACTAAAAACAACAAGTTTCAACTCTGGCATATCGTTGACTTTTCTTGCCAGATCAGTTTTAACAGCCTCTAACTCAAAGCTGCACACAGAAGAGCCACAATTTTATGATCACGTCAAAAAATTTGGTTGAGTCCACCCACTTTTGCCACCAAAACATTTTTGAGTATAAACTTTGGAATAGAATTTAAAACTTTTCATAGAACATACAAAGATCTCAAAAACCAAGCTCCATCTTAAAGATCTTATTGCTCCATGTTTTCCTAACAGAACACTTTGCTCTCAGACTGCAGGTTTACTTGTTGTTCCTAGAGATTCTAAATGTAGAATTAGAGGCAGAGCTTGCAGTTATCAGGCCCCTCTCTTACCCATGAAGCTGACAACCTGTTTACTTTTAAGACTTATTAAGATGTATTAAGACTTGACTTGAACTTGAAGGTAAATTGACTGTAACTGGACTTTAATCGGATTTGAAAGGACTTGTTTTTCCTTGCATAGTGTCCTGAATTGACTGAATTGATTGAATTGCTGTATAAATAAACTGGACTGAGCTGACTGGTTTTAACGAATAACATATTATGGGGCATCCCAGGACACTTGCATTATGACAGATAATTTGAGCCTTGCTGTTTGTAGGATGGGGTCTTTGTGGACTGGGCTTACTTCCCAAAGTTACTGCCAGTCTTTATTGCATCTTGAGAGTTTAGAGATCATTTGAACATTGTTGACTCTTGATTGTGTTCTTAAATCTTTCCTAAGGTTTTTAAGGGACCTTTGCAGTCCTGTTTCACTGTCCTGTCCTTATTCTATATGGGAGTGGTATTGTCGCCTTGTGATAGTGATTGGTTTACAGATAAAATTAATGCCAGTAGGCAGTTTTTTCCCAGTGGAACCTTGTGTTGAAGGTAGACGAGCAGATATACTGTACTCCCTTTACCTGTAAAAGGTCATAGTGTTATGGTAATGGGTGCATTTCTACGCTAATTTTGGACTGCTTTGACATTATTTTGATCCTGATTGCTTATTGATCTGAATGTACTCGTGATTTTGTTATCAAATGACCATATACAACATCTTCCTGTGGTACACTACGCAGTATAACATATCAGCCATCCTGGGCCTGTACATTTGCGGATAGTCAGAAATAATAGACAAGATCTATGTGTAATATCAGAGCCTGACTGTGAAGAACCCTCCACGATACGATGGATCTGGATGGGGTAATGTTACCAGAGGACAAACCGATACATCAGGGCTATACTCTGACCCAGGGACGGGCCCGATCCTGTTGATCTCTGCTTGGCAGCCTGGGCTGCAGTTGAGAATGCCGATCAATAACGCACACTAAAGCTATTCTCACTTAGGATAAACACAACCACGCCTCGAGACTGGTGATACTGCTGTCTGAATCTCCTGCTTTACAAAGCAATTGAAGCATGTCAGATCCTTGATATCAGACAGTTTTGGTTCTTTTAAACACAGTTTACTTAATTGTGTTAGGATGTAGTGTGTGATAGGGATTAGAATAACAAACAAAACTAAAGGGAAGTCTCATACTCAAAAATGAAAGGTTAAACTTATACTCAGTTTAGCCTTCTCAGGCTTGACCTGAATGCTGACAGAGGATCCCGGTGCCCACCCCTCCTTCTCCTTCTGCTGTGCAATGAGTCACATAAAGCTACCTGGATGGCCCGAGTCGCTGTGTGATGCTGATTCTGCTGCTTCTGCTGTATTCGGCTCACACCTGGCTCCCTAACTGTGTCATGTAGTACTCTGTGCTTTCTGAACTTGCATGTTCGGCTTATTTTTGAAATCCTCTTTATCAAGAAGGTACTTTTTGTAATTCAAAAAAGGAGAAAAGGAAAGGAAAGGGGTGGTTGCTCAAACAATCGCAGTGTCTATACCTGCAGTTCTAACATTCCTTGTGGGTGGTACAGATGGATTCTGTATGTGTTGTTTGCTTTGCTGCAAATATGTTTTACAGTCTGATGTGTGAAGTAGCTCATAAATATTTAACATTAGAGGAGATCTCTGTTTATTTGTACCTTTATAAGTGTGATTTATGCTACACGGTAATGTGATGGACTTAGGTGGGTCTTACTCCTGCAAACAACTGATTGTTTACATAAAATTGTAGTCTGGCACAACGACTCCCAGTTTGTTATTTACTGTAACTGCACCTAGCATGACAACGACAGGTTGGTCAAGGACTGTCCTTACCTGAAAACTCACATCCACACCACTCGCCACTACCCCTCCCTTCTCCATCACCGTCCCCCTGTCTCCTTTCCTTCCTTTCCTGCCCACCTGCAATGTGATTCTTTCTCTTCTGCTCCATCTTCCTCTATTAATTATGCAAACAACAACAAACTGTGCAAACGTCCCTGACAATGGGATTTTGTATCCCGTTTATGTTTTCCCCCCCAATTCTTCTTCGGAGCCATGCCACTCTATAAATAAGCTCCCTCACAGCTTTTCGCTTGCCTTTTCTCTGCTCTCCATCCCTCTGCCTCCTACTCACACACACACACACATATATATACATACTGCCAAACAGTATCATAAATCAAGGGATGAGAGGATGAGGGGGAGCAGAGAGATGGGGGATGCACCCTTCACACACACACACACACACACACACACACACACACACACACACACACACACACACACACACACATGCAGTGAAGCACATTTTAACATATCTCGCCTGCTTCATGCACAGCTTGCAGAAAAGAAGACACACGGACACATGCAAACACCGTCCGTGTCTCGGTTGCTGCTGCAGGACCCCCCTTCCCCTGTCCTCTCCCCTACTCCAGCTCCACCATCACCCCCCTCTCCATCCCGCAGTCAGAGGTAGAAGAGGAGCGTTGCTTACTCAGTCTCCTGGAGCCGATGCATCCCATGGTGTATTCACAAAGGCCCTGGACACAAGCGTGGAAGTGTTGCCCAGACGCCGAGCATTCTCCTCCTTCCTCCTGCGACTCTCTCCTCCTCTCAGCGTGCTCTCTTTTCCCCCTTTCTGCCGTGCTCTCTCTGCCCTATTCTCTCTCTTACTCTGTTTCTCCTTTGCGCTTGCTCGATCCCTCTCTCCCTCACTCCTGCTGCTCCTCTCCGTCTCCAGTGCGGCGTCTTAGAGGAGATCCGGTTAGTAAGTCAGTATGCCTGGAGGGGAGGGAGGGAGGGGAAATGGAACGGGACTAAATAAAGATGCAAGGCAATGTCAAAAACGTTTGAAACACACTTGTCACATTTGAACATGGGATCACGCTCAGTTTGAGCTTTTGCAGGTTTTTACCTTTCAGATGATCATTTTCGAGACACAGAATCTGGCAATTATTATATGATGAGATAACGCAGAAAGATAAAACATTAATAATAATTAGAGATTAAAAGAGTTAGACTGACTGGTGTGGGTTTCCACTGCTGAGATTATTAGTGCAATGCTGAGGGACTGCCATTGTTGTGGATATCGCTGCACTGCTGTATTATTGTTGAGCTAAAATGGGGGATTCTCTCTGTCTCCCTCTCCTGTGTGCATTCAGCCTGACAATGCACTGCAGCCACTTTCCACTCCACCCCCTCCATCCCTCCCAGCCTCCTTCCATCCCACCAAACCTCATATACACACACCCACACACACACTTATGTATCACTCAAGTACCTACACAATTACAGGCAAAGAACAGTACTGAGAATTTTTAAAAGATATTTCTTTAACTACCTAAATTGATCTGCTTCAGGCCATTTCTGCACGTTTCTCACTTTCTGTTATCGCTCTTCTCTACCTCTTTGGCTCTCTTCAGCCCAACTTCACCTAAACCCCTTCTCCTTCCTTAACCTGTCAGTTTTAATATCAATTATTTTTTATCAACTGCATCTAAAAGGCAGGCAATGACCTGTTTGCATGTGTGTCTGCTTGACTGTTAGCAAAATACCCAATGAACCAGTGGATTAATTTTTACGAAACTCTTCAAGGTAATCTTCGGATATGTCTACAACTGATTACCTGTTGAAGTCAATCTGATTCAAGATGGCCACCGCAGCTAAACGAACTTACCAAACATAAAAATAACCATAACTCAATAAATATTTACATTTGAGCTAAAATTTGGTCTTATCTGAGACTGATCACCAATATATACTCCAAGTGCTAACAGATCATATTAAGATCTGTTAGCATCAAGATTTGTGTTTAAAACTTTGCTATTACCTGATAAAGTTACCTCTGTCTGTTAGTAAAATATTTTATAAACCAGAGAACAGATTGTAACAAAACTTTCAGGAAGTAATCATTTGACATACATCTGCATCTGCTTACTTTCTGGAGTCAACTTCTTTTAAGATGGTCACCACAGCTAAAGACATTAGCAAACACAAAAATGGCTACAACTCAGTCAATGTTACAAATACTGAGCTCAAAATTGGTGTGGTAGTAGCTGACAGTCATCCCTATTCTACTTCAAGCACTCAACATAGAGCAAGATCTTTGCTAAACCACTGGCATCAACCCTTTTGTCTCTGTTAACAACAGTGGTGGGATGTAACTAAGTACAAGTACTTTGTTACTGTACTTAAGTACATTTTTTATGTATCTGTACTTTACTTAAGTAGAGTTAAACATGGGAACTTTCTATGTTTACTCCACTATCTGTACTTTCCACTACACTACATTTCTATAATGCGTTGCATTACACGTTACATTCACGTAGCGTTTTTTTTTAACTTATTTGTTCTTTAGTTTGAAAGTAACCAATGGCAAGAGGGGAGTTTGTCCATGGAATCACTGCAAAGTGTGAAGGTAACGTTAAACCTGCCTTCAAGACGAGCTGGGCCAATGATGTATATTCTAGTATATAGGTCATTGAGATGGGCGCATCCACAGTACCGCTAACACACCCAAAATGGATTCCACCGCGGCGAGTCAGTCAGAAGATACACGCCACCATGGCCTTATTGAAAAACTATTGAAAGACTATTGAAAGACTACTGAAAGACTATTGAGTACAGCAGGACAGCTTTTCTCTCCCAAAAGAGCTAGACTGGACAAAAAAAACTTTGAAAACCAACTTCTTCTGAACTTGAACAAGAAATTCTTGCTGCAATATTAAAATGTGTCAGATGTTAGGACAGGAGACATGAGATGTCTCCAAATGACTCGACACTCGGGCCCAAGTTTTGAAAATAGTGTCAGGAAGTTAAAATATCGTTCACTATTGACCCATTACAAGGTTGACTGGACAGTATTTTAACGATAGAGATGATGACAAACAGTTGAAATGATCAGAATCCTTTGTTAGGTCTAATGCTTCTTTTTTCAGGCAGACAACTTTAACTTAAATGTGTTTACTGCAGTTAAAATGACACATTGGTTTTGCTTTGTGTTAAATAAAAACTTTCAAAGGTATAATCATTCCTCTTTCTTAATTTGCTTAATGGCATTTAACTCTGCATGTCATCCATGAAATTCTGATGCACAGAGTCACAAGTCCAAGTGTGAACTGTGTCACAGGGTAAACACAATATAAACATACACTATCTGCAGCGTTATTCATTAAAAAGGCTCAACACTATTAATGTATTACAGAAAATATACAAACGGTAGGCACACTTAAAGATATTGTACACCACTGCATTAGGTAATACATTCAGCAAGTACTTTTACTTTTAATACTTTAAGTATTTTTAAAAGCAAGTACTTATTTACTTTTACTTACTTAAGAAAAAACATTACTTCTACTTTTACTAGAGTACATTTTTGTCCGTTTGTACTTTTACTTAAGTACAGTGTTTGAGTACTTTCTCCACCACTGGTTAGCAATATAACCCATGAACCAGTGGACACATCTCAATAAAACTCTCAGAATGTAATTATTGCATGCACATCTGCAACTGATGAAGCTTTGGATGTAAATTAATTAAAGCCAAAGCTAATGAATGCATAATATAGTCAGTTTCACAGATGTTCAGCTCAAACTTAGTGTTATAGTAGCTAGGATCATCTTCAACAAATACTCTGAGAACTAAGATGGCACGAGACCTTGTAAAATGTTATGAAATCATGTAAAATGTTATTTTCAAGATTATTAAAATCCCCTAACCCCCCCCCCCCCTTTTTTTTTATTTTTTACATAAGATGACTGTAGTTTAAAATAAACAAAAGGCAGTAGCAATGCACTCCTTCAATGAATGCTAGGTCTTTTATTTTCCTTCCTTTTTCCATCCCCTCACTGTCCGGTCAGGCCGCCAACCCCTCTGTTTGCTGACTACAAACTGATGCAAACAAGTTTCAAAGTCTTTGCAGGCACAGTCTGGACTGTGAGATTCACTGTGTGTGCAGACGGAGAAGATTGGGAGGGGGTGCATGTGTGGTCAGACATGTTTTGTTGACTATACACTGGAAGAAATGAGAGAGGAGGAGAGAAAGAGGAGAAACAGCGGGACAGATGGGAGGAAGAGCAGAAGACGTGGGCAGATGGGACGGGGGGCTGATGGGAAGGAATGCAGAGAACAGTGGAGTCATGTCAGGAAGAGGTGTGGAGACGATCCTGCGTGACATAAATTAGCACTCCAGAATGGACGGAGGCAACTGTCAGATAAGGAGATGGGCACTCAGGGGAGATAGATATGAAAATGAGAGAACGGGGCATCGTTTTGATGCTGCACTAAAAAGATTAAAGGGAGTGTGGTGAATGCGGGCTATAACAAATCATACAAAAAACAGCCCTTCCATGCACTCTGCATTTTAATATACGTAGTTATGGTGTAGCTCTCGCTATGTTTTGAATATTGAGAAGTATCCTGAAGCGCAGCTTTTATAGAAGAACATTTCTGCCACTTCAAAGATTAAGAAAAAGAAATCTAAGTCATACACAATACCTTCTTCTTTTTCTTTTGGCTTCTCCCTCTTCGAGGGTCGCCACAGCGAGTCATCATTCTCCATCTCACTCAGTCCTCTGCATCCTCTGTCCTCACTCCAGCTACCTCCATGTCCTCTCTAACTGCATCCATAGATCTCCTCTTTGTCTTTTTCCTGGCAGCTGCATTTCTAAAATCCTTCTACCAATATACCCACTGTCCCTCCTCCGGACATGTCCAAAACATCTCAGTCTGGCCTCTCTCTAACTATCTTACAGTTGGTCACCCTGTGCTGTACCTCTGACGATCTCATTCCTAATCTTATCCATCCTTGTCACTCTTAAGGAGAACCTCAACATCTTCATTTCTGCCACTTCCAGTTCTGTCTCCTGTCTTTTTGTCAATGCCACTGTCTCCACCTCCACCAAGTTCTCTTCCACTTGTTCCCTGCTTTCATCACAGATCTTGTCATCTGCAAACATCACATCCATCCATTATCTTTACCAGCTTCTTCCTTTTCGGGTCACGGGGTTCACTGGTGCCCATATTCAGCAGTCACTGTGCGAGATGTGAGAGAAACCCTAGACAGGTCTCCAGTCCATCACAGGGACAAATGACACAAACCACCATTCATACTCTCACTCACACCTAGGGACAATTTAGAGTTACCAATCAGCCTAACATGCATGTTTTTGATCTGTGGGAGGAAACCGGAGTACCCGGAGAAAACCCACGCATGCACGGAGAGAACATGCAAACTCCACCCAGAAGTGGCCTGGCCGGGATTTGAACTGGGGTGACCCGCTCGCTGAGAGGTGGCAGCTCAACTAACTGCGCCATCGTGCTGCCTGAAGGTAAAAATAAATAAACAAATTTATTAAACAAGAAAAAACAAAAAGGCTGACGTGGCAGCAAAAATACTCACAGGCAAAAACACTAGAAGAGGTGAAGGAGAAAACAAACATGAATGGCTTGAAAACATGCACAACAAATGGGACAAATGACAGGCTTCAGGATCAGGTGAGAGTGGGGGGTCAGGACTCGGGAGCATAAACTAAAGTGCAGGAAAAATACACTGGGGAAGCTGAAACACGGGCACAAAACAAACTTCAGTTGATCCAAAATGCTGCTGCTAGAGTCTTAACTGGATTTAGTGGGAGAGATCATATATCTCTCTCTCCCTGTCAAAATCCAGAATTGAATTCAAATTCTTACTTCTAACCTACAAAGCTCTCAACAACCTAGCTCCATTTATATTCAAGATCTTATTGTTCCATATTTCTCTAACAGAGTACTTCACTCTCAGA